TTTTTTTTCCCCTCATAGATTTACAACTTTATTCTTGTAATATTTTGACTTTTTTTCCTCATAAATTTACGATTTTATTCTCGTAGATTTTCGACTTTATTCTTGTAGATTTACGATTTTTTTCTCATAGATTTACGACTTAATTCTCATATTTTGACTTTTTTTCTCATAGATTAATGACTTGATTCTCATAGATTTACGAGTTTATTCTCATCGATTTCTGACTTTATTCTAATAATATTGTGACTTTTTTTCTCATAGATTTACGAATTAATTCCAGTAATACTATGACTTTTTTTCCTCATCGATTTAAGACTTTATCCTCATAATATTGCAACTTTATTCTCATAGATTTATGACTTTTTTTTCTCATCGATTTATTATGTTATTAATATTGTGACTTTAATCTCATAAAAAAGCCTGTGGCGTCCTGTCTATGACTGAATCACAGCTGTGCTGATATTCAGTACAACAGCATTTATCTGGTCAGTTTGGTTTGTTTTAGTAGTTTTAGTGAAAATGAGCATTATCACAGTTAATCATTGCTGTAAATGCACTGTAGCTCCACCCTCTTGTCCAAATATGGTCATTTCTGGCTCCTAAAATCCAAGATGGCGACGGCCAAAAGGCCAAACTCAAGGCTTTAAAACAGGAGTCAGCAAACCAAAGGATAACATCACGATGGCTACGTCCATTATTCAATAGTGCCCACGGAGCATCAGTGAGGGGTGGAGGATACGAACACATAGCACCCACCCAGTAACAGCATGCTCACCCTGCTGCCATCTGGCAGGCGGTACACAAGTATCTGCTGCTTGTGTTGTAAAATGACAAATGAACCTTGCAACCTTGTTATCTTGGGTTACTATCACCCGTTAGAACGCCTGACAGCCAATCACATCGCAAGGTTTGAAATTCCAGATGTAAAATATGAAACAAACTAATACTAATATATTAACTTTGTGTTGCTCTATGTGTGACACACTGACGCCCTCTGACCCTGCAGGTGAGCACGGACACTGTCCTGCAGAGGAGTCACCTTGTCCCTGCACACCATTGCAGCTCTCCCTGCCTTCCTCTTCCTGCCTCTGTGTCCAGCCCCCTCCTTACTACGACTTCCTCTTCATCTCCGCACGACTGCATCCACACCGCTCCACCTGCACAGCCTGCTGACGGGCTGAACTCATCCCTGCTCTGCTGCGCCTTCCCTGCGAGACCGAGGCCACACTGACCTCTGGAGGTTTGACACAGAAACAGGGGACATCTGTCATGTTCCCCGACAACGACTATTCTACTTTATATTGCAGTTGTCATCTGCAAGGCCATCCCTCTGGAGGAGCTGCAGTGATCTCCGCCCCCTCCATAGATAACCTAAGCGGTGAACCAGGAAATGAGGACTGCGGCAAGTGTGGTGTCCTTCAGATGCTCACCTTCAACTTTAGACCGTCTCGGGCCTGCATGAATTCTTTGCATACCATAAAATAGCTTCTGACGGGTAGATTAGAGCGAGACTCACTTCAGTGGTCACACACAATTATCTGTGTGAAACACTGAGCAGAGGTGTGCTGCTGGGACTGAATTCATCTTTCACATCCATCTGCTCAGGCTCACTGCGCTGTCATTGTAATCACTGGATTAAAGATCCTGCCACACACACACACACACACTGGTCTTCTCACCATCATGACGAGTGTTATTAGTCGCAACAAAACATTTCCACACACAGGCCAGAACACACACAGACACAGAGACAGTATCAGATTGCAGTGGGTGCTCCAGAAGGAGGCTGCGTCCTCCAGATGTCACCGGTGACGGAAAAGTACCGTCACACCCAGTGGAGCCTCACATCCTTCTGTGGGAGAGGGGATTAAGCGATTAGCTCGTCCTCACTTTCCTTTGCTCTCTTCTGTCCTCTCCTTACGTTCCCTAAAAAACTGCTGACGGGGGACATTCTTTGGGCTCCTGCTGCACGAGCACGGGAATGAGTTCACTGCTTACAATCCCACATGCAGACATCATGTGCTGTGATGAACTCACTGCACTCTTTTGGGATTCTCACACACACATCTCTTGAAAACACAGGTGACTCCATGTTTGTGTAGAAAGCACTGTGATTAAAGGGGTCATAATGACAGGGTGAGCTACAGAAGAGCCACACGAGACATTAGCAAAGTGTTTTCCAGGACTTTCAACCCCAGTTATCAGCAGTGAATTCGGTCAGTTGTTATGCCAACTTCTGTGACAACTGAGCCACCTTTGATTCGCCGATGAAGCCCATGATATGTGTCTGAAAGCTCTGGAAAGGGCAGCAGTTTTCTGTGAACTTCCCTACTCCGAATAGTGTTTCTCTGCAGCTCCAGGAGCCACAAAACTTCCTGTACGTATAAAAATCCTTCTTCCTGTTACGTGGAAACTTTTTCGACTTCCGACAACGAGTCTAACTGTGCAATACTTCACGTCAAAAGCAAAGCCGAGAAAAATTAGTTTACTGATAACCTCTGAGAGCGGGGGCAAAGCAGGTTTCTCACGCACAGACGATGTGTTCAAGGACACAGTTCAATAATATTTGCATTATGACAGTAGTGTCAGTATTTACACATTGCATAATCTCTCGTGGATGATACTTTCAGGTGTGATTCATTACAGAGAGCACAGCACTGTCAGTGTGACCTTCCTCCTGACTTGATAGATGAGGTGTGTGTGTGTGTGTGTGTGTGTGTGTGTGTGTGTGTGTGTGTGTGAAGAGTGTTCACATGCACATACAGTACATATAGTGAGTCAGCAGTTGTGATGCCCGCAGAGGCAGCGTGTCCGCCATCTAGTGAGCGTCACTCTGCACTGCATGGTGCACGGAACCAGGACAGAGGGCTGTACTTGCTGAGGCAGGCTGCAGATCTGCAAATGAAGCATGTTTTTGATAGTACATCTTGCTGATGCTGAGCTAGAATATTACCCAGAATTCCGTCTCACATTTTCTCAGATTGATCTAAGACGTAATAATGTTTGGGAAATTAAAATATGTTCTTGCGGAGGCATCATACAAAGTAGAAGAACACATGTAGGAGAGATTTCTTTTTTACACCCCAATCTACCTGTCTATATTCCAGTCCAGCAGGTGGCAGTAATGCACCAATGAACTGGCTGCCAACCACTGAAACCATTGTGTAATAGTTTGTAACATGAACAGAAACTAGTCCATACCCATTGAGTGCACAGTTGCCCACGTACAGTTTCACATGGTGTGTGTTTGGGATACAGGTCATAGGAAATCGCAGATTAAATAGTCAGCTGAACCCATTAAGAAGAGCAATGTATTCAGACAGAGTTTTTGTGTAGTTGATAGTACGATTGCTTTATTGAAAGTACAGTAGTACCATTGCCAATAGTGGGATAGTTAGTGGGCTAAAACTGTACATTAGTAGTTGAGGTAGCACGTTGAAAAGCAGATAGTTAAAGTGTTTAAAAAAACATTGGTCCACAGGGGGAGCCACAGCAATCAGTCGCATTTTAGCCATTTTTAAGCATTTTTCTGTTGTTATAGCGCCACCCAGTTGCCAATTAGAGTTAAATTTCTCCAGTCACCTTGAGGCGTCCTGTTCTACATATCTACCAAGTTTAGTAAAACTCCATATGGCGGGGCATTGGTAGCGTAGTGGATAGTGCCAGCGCCCCATGTATAGAGGCGATGCCTCGCTGTAGCGGTCACAAGCTCGACTCCAGCTTGCAACCCTTTGCTGCATTTCGTCCCCCCACNAGCGCCACCCAGTTGCCAATTAGAGTTAAATTTCTCCAGTCACCTTGAGGCGTCCTGTTCTACATATCTACCAAGTTTAGTAAAAATCCATATGGCGGTTAGGCCTAGATAAGAAATGAGCTCTCTAGCGCCCCCATTTTGTTTGATGGGGTCAATAATGGAGGGGTCCCCTCAGATTATGTGTGGTCATATGCCTACAAAGTTGCGTGGTGATGGGTGAAACCCTTGAGATGTTATACACCTTTATGTGATGAGCCACGCCCTCCGCAATATTCATTGCCTTATAGAAGCTCAGTTTTAGTAAGTTTTCCAACTTTTGCCAAGAGGGAACTTTAGATATTGGTCCCTAGATTATGTTCACCCAGTTTCATGCAGATCGCTCAAACTTCCTAGGAAGAGATCCATTTGAAGTGTTTTTCAAAAAATTCAAAATGGCAGAAAATCTATATAAGCGGAAGTTATGGGTTCTTGAGGCAAATGTGTTCCTCATGAGCAGAGGCATCTCTGTGCAAAGTTTCATGTCTCTACGACATACGGGGCATGAGATATGCCCATTCAAAGTTTGCAATTTCAATGGGTTGCTATAGCGCCCCCCTTTGGCCAATTGATGTAATATTGCTTCATTCACATCCTCCCATGACCCTCTACCACTGTGCCAAATTTCACATGGATTGACCAAGTCAGTGAGGAGAAAAACATGGAACACACACACACACACACACACACACACACACACACAGTTTTCGTCATTATATGGTAAGATGAGATGCCAGGTGACAGTGTACATATACAAAGCCAGGAAATAGTATTCATTCATACAAATTAAAGGAGGTGCACTAATTCATAATAGCCTTCTTGTTGTTGGAAGAGAAAATACTTTTTATTTATTGTTTGGTTTCTTTATCAAAAGTAAAAAATAAGAGTTTAGAGTTATTAAATGTGGATTTGTGGATATGAGGTTTTGGCAAAGGAATTATTTGGTAAATAATATTGTAACAATAATAAATAATATATTACCAAATAATATATTCAATATAATATTCTTGGGAAAACGATTATGATGAAGTGGGAGTAGGATTTGCTATGGAAAAGGCATGTCCCGCCCTACTCTGCCGTACTCTGCGTCTGATTGGCCAATCCAACCAACAAACGCAACCAGCAGCCAATCAGAAGGAGAAGGGGGCGGGTCATGCCGCGTTATTACAGGAAATACAAATCCTCCGATACAGCAGGTGGCGCTGTGCAATTAAACTCACAGCAGAAGAAGAGTGACAGGCCTCCGTAGTCCACACTGTAGTAATGAGCTGACGACTCAAGCTAACGTGGGCAGTTATATATATTTAGTGGAAGTCTGTTTAAAGAGCAGCCATGGATATAGCGCTGTATCTGATAGCAGCTGCTATCCTCATTGTCCTCATTGTGTTTGCGTTGAAGGTGCGTGGGAGAACGCAGGAAGGTAAGCTAATGAGCTAATGCTAACTGTTAGCATAGCGGCTACAACCAGCTGTTGAGTTGACAGAAGGCTCGTGAATTTAACGTTTTAGTCACTGTGTAATATGTTTGACGTTGTCGTTAATATTTCTGTAGTGAGAAGGAACAGTTAAGATGAAAATATATTCGTAGTAGTGAGTTTGGGGTTTGTTTTTGTCGGCGTTTTTAGGCAACGTCAGTTTATAGCTGTCATTTCGTGATGAACTACGGGGGCTGCAGTGGGACATACTAGTTATTGAATGTCTTGGTGATATTCAGCGTCGCTGTCTGTGTTGTCAGTGTTTTACATGTGTAAAATCAATTGTAAAAGACAGTTTGCTTTTTAAAAAGCATTTTAAGTATGTAATTAAGGGACTGTACGTTATTTATCAGTCACTGGTCACATTAATACCAATTAAACTCATTTAAAGTTGTGTGTCAGTCCCTTAAGCTCATATAAAAACACAGGTCGCTCCTGAGGATGGGGGAAAATCGTTAAAATTTGAAAGTCTTAACATGTGTGTATGGCATTGACAGTATTGTGTCATGTCATGTGCCCTCTCCAGCTGATGAGGAGCAGCGCAGGGATGTTATCCGGGCAGCGGGGCCCCCTCAGCGTGCAGCGGAGGAGCGGGGAGCCGGTATGCCTCGCAGGAGGAGGAACCTGGCCTCGGTGATGGCTAATAGACGACCACAGAGAGATGCTGTGGAGCAAGGTAAACACTGTCACTTAGAATTGTTTATATTTATAATATAGCTGTTAATGCTGGGGTAGAAGAACATGCAACAAGTGTGCTGTGCATTTCAGAGGAGGAGCGTGTAGAGGAAGAAGACGTGGAGCAGCAGAGCTTCCAGACGCACGCTAAAGTCGGAGCCAAGAAGCAGAAGAAGCTGGAGGAGAAACAGGCCAAGAAAGCCCAGAGAGAGGTGAGGGCTCACAGCGCACTAACTCAAAGCTGGTTGTGAGTGTGTAGTCGCACTGGGAAAGTGTTATCTGTTGTGTTGTCTTGTATTCATTGTTTTGTGTTTCCAGGCAGAGATGGAGGAGAGGGAGGAGAGGAAGAGGATGCAGGAGCTCCGAGAGCAGGAGAGGCGTCAGGAGGACGAGAGAGAACGACAGCTGGAGCAGAAACAGGTCGCACACTCGGTGCTCTCACCTGCTCTTTCCTCACTGTGTGTTCATACGGAGGAGATGCTGACACTGTGCTGGTGTTTGTTCAGGAGGAGGACGAGCGCCGGGCTAAAGAGGAGCAGGAGATACGGGAGGAGGAGGAGTACTTGCGACTCAAAGCCTCATTCACCGTAGAGGACCAGGGAGAAGAGGAGCAGCTCACAGAGGACCAGGTCACACGTCTGCTGAGCTCGTTTTAACATTTTTTTTGTCTTGAATATATTTTAAACAAGTTTGTTCTTGTTTCTCAGTCGCGCAACCTGCTGCAGGATTTCATCCAGTACATCGAGGTGAGCTCTGACACACTCCTCACACTCGTCACACTGATGTATCTGAGTCTGGTCTGTCTCACAGTGTCTCCTCTGTCCCGCAGAGCTCTAAGGTGGTGCTCCTGGAGGACCTGGCTTCTCATTTTGGGATGAGGACACAGGACGCTATCAGCAGACTGCAGGACCTGTTGGCTGAAGGCTCCCTCACAGGTGAGTGTGACCAGGGCAGGTGTGGCTGCATCTCCACTCCTTCCATGTCTGGAGCCTGAGACCTTGCTGTGTTCTGTGCAGGAGTGATCGACGACAGAGGGAAATTCATCTCCATCACCCCCGAGGAGCTGGACTCAGTGGCTAACTTCATAAGACAGAGAGGCAGAGTGTCCATCACGGAGCTCGCTCAGGCCAGTAACTCTCTCATCAACCTGATGCCTGAGAGCCGCAGCACGGCGTGACGGACGTCGCTCTGCTGCAGGACACCTGGACGACAGATTGCCCCCCTCTGCTGGTGTAAAGCACAGACTGGACTGATGCCAGGTGGTGTTATGATCTGCATCCCGGCGCAGTAGCCTTTATTCACCAGTAGGTGTCACACTTCATACAGATCAGGACGTCTGTTTGACTCACCTAAAATGTGTGACATTACATTAACAAGCCCATGAAAAACTGATTAAGCATAGTAAAAAAAAAAATTAAAAATCACTTCCTTTCCTCAGCTCTGATTGGTTCCTTGATTCCACCCTGAACTCCACTGCATTCATTCTTTCTTCATCGTCAAACAGCTGACCATGACAGCAATATATGAGTGAGGTTTTAATTCATACACACAAATTGGTGGCGCCAACAGGAGACTTGTCAGGACCACAGTGACGAGTTAATTCATGACAATCTCCAGCTCTGGTCATTTAAAGTGCACATTGTTCTGTTTCACCGTCAAAGAGCAGCAGACAGGCAGGTTCACGTGGCGGTACGTCCGCCAAACAGGCTCTCTGATTGTTTGTGTCACTGAGCTGTAAGATAACAGATCTATCAGACAGAAACTATCAACTAATATCAACAATTAAAACTTCCAGCTGAATTACGAGCAATGAATCAGAGTTCACACACTGCTGACAGGCACATCAGGCATGTTAGCTTTATATGGTTTGGTCTCTTGTTTTCATAAAGTCTTTCAGTTGAAGTTCAATTGAGTCCACGAGCTGAAAATAAAGAGTCCTTGTCAGAGGTGTGTTTCAGCTGGGTGTCTCCTGGTCTTTATCCTGGACTCTCTGGCTTTGTTTCCCCTGACTCAGCTCCCATGTGGAGGTGGCGCCTCTGTCCTGAAACACAAGAAAAATACAACATTCCAGTCTCCCTGGAAACTGTAGCATTTGATATCAGACCTCAAACTGTGTAAAATATCAGTTTCATCCTAACATACTTTTATCAGCACACCCAAGGGTGCTAGGTTATCTCTGAGGTCGTCACAGGCTTTGAGGAGAGGGATTCTCTCTGGGTAGAGTCCAGGTTTTTTGGTCGGACCATCCTGACGAGCGAGAGCAAACGCTCTGACTTCACTCCTGAAACGAGTCAGCTGCTCCACGACACCCTCCAGACTTCCATGACCGCTGGTCATGTCAGCCTCCTGCACAGGTGCGGAGAAACAAACATTTAAGAGGAAGTCTGGTGGCGTTTTGGATGTGGCCTAAAAAATGGAGCCCATTCACTAACATTAAGTTAAAAGAGACCAGTTTTGTAAGATCACAGTGACCTTGACCTTAGATTTTAAACTACTAAATTCTAATCAGTTCATTCTCGAGTCAAAGTGGACGTTTGTGCTAAAGTAGAGGAAATTTCCTCAAGAAGTTCTTGAGACATCGCACAAGAATGAGATGAATGCAAGGTCACAGTGACCTTGACCTTTGGCCACTAAAATCTAATCAGTTCATTCTTGAGTCCAAGTGGACGTTTGTGCCAAATTGAAAAAAATCCTTTAAGGTATTCTTGAGATATTACACTCACAAGAATGAGACATTTGAGGTCACAGTGACTTTGACCTTTGGCCACGAAAATCTAATCAGTTCATTCTTCAGTCCAAGTGGATGTTTGTGCCAAATTTAAAAACAAAACACTTTAGATTTTCTTGAGATATTAAACTCACAAGAATGAGATATTTGAGGCCACAGTGACCTTGACCTTTGGCCACTAAAATCTAATCAGTTCATTCTTAAGTCCAAGTGGACATTTGTACCAATTAAAAAAAAAAAAAAAACACCTTAGATTTTCTTGAGATATTACACTTACAAGAAAGATATATATTTGAGGTCACAGTGACCTTGACCTTTGACCATTAAATTCTCATTAGTGCCTCGTTGAGTCCAAGTGGAGGTTATTGGTCGGTTGGCTTCATGTAAAACCTCCTCCGGTCTGAAGCCATCTTTGATTTGGCCATCTTGTAGTTTCTGGTTGTCAGCCATTTTGTTTGTAGGCCAGACAGCCTTTGTGTCACACACAGTTTTGTCTCTTTCTCTCTCACACAAATAATTGTATTAATAGGCATTAATCATTTCTGATAGCCATTTTGATACTTCTGACTCGATCCCACAAACACTGTCCTGTTGCCAGTCGAGAATCTCAAGAAGTTAAATAAATATCCCTGAGCTCTGACCTTACTGTGCAGCAGGTCGATACCAAACGCATCCAATACGTCTCTGATGTAGCTGACCATCGCTCCGAACACCGCAGGGCTCCGAGCCGCTCCTTCAGACTGGACACAACACACAAACACACATCAGTTCAGTCAGGATTCAGTGTTTTAGCTTCCTGCCAGTGCGCTGAAATTACAGCAGAACTCCTGGAGGGTCAGACGTCCAGCCAGGCACAGTGTGTTACCTGAGAAACAGGCTGGAGTTGGCAGTTTCCCTGGTAAACCAGATTCATCACAGCGCCGACAGCTCTCGGGGTGTCGAAGTCATCTGCCAGTGCTTTCACCACACTGGATTTAGTCTCAGCCAACCTGAAACACAGCACAGAGACTATGAGATACAAATACACCCAATGAGGACTGATCGAACTGGAGAGGAAGTTCCTACCTCTCCCAGAGAACGGCTTCCTGTACAGGTGAACACTGCAGCTGACCCTTCATGTAGGCCTGGGCGTCATGGACAAAGGTGGAGACGGTTCCCAGAGAGGTCCGAGCCTCCAGCATGCTGTTGTCACTATAGTCTATAGCTGTGGAGACACCGCGACAAATCACCCATGTTCAGTCTATATTGATGAAGAAACATGTTGCTGTAGTGAATGTGAAACAAATTCAGATCCCACCTGATCTGTATTTGCTTAAAAGACAGAACATCCGGAACTCGTTGGCAGAGTACGACTGCAGGAAATCCTGATGGAGGACAAAAGAAAGAGAATAATTTATTAACAAACTGTGATATACAACGTGGGAGATAGAGGGACTGACTCAGTGACGCTGACCTTACCTTGATGGTGACGTAGTTCTTCAAAGATTTAGACATTTTCTCTGCGCTGCCTTTAAGGTGTAAGTGCCCTGGAACCAAGAACAACCACTCAGTGAATGTGTCCTGAGATGTTTTAAAGAACTGGAAAAGGAACAGGAAGCAAAACCAGTGTAGGACTTAGGGTCTACCTGAGTGGAGGAAGTAGTTTGCCCACTGGTCACACTGGTGATAGGCTTCACTCTGAGCCACCTCATTCTCATGGTGAGGAAACGCCAGGTCGATTCCTCCGGAGTGGATATCTAGCTGACTCCCGAACACTGAGCTGAAACCACAACACTATGAACTGAGTCTGACAAGCATATTTAGCTCTATTTAGCTATATGACAAAATAAATCCGAACCTAGAGATGGTGGAGCATTCAATGTGCCAGCCAGGTCGTCCTCGGCCCCACGGAGACTCCCAGTACGGCTCCTGAGGTTTTGACGGCTTCCAAAGAGCAAAGTCTCTCACGTCTCGTTTATTTGCGCTGCCTGGAGAACCGTGCAGGTTGTTGTCCGTTAGTAAAACATATATTGTGCCTGATACAAAACAAGCAGTGGCAGTTACCACAGTGTGTGTGGGTGGACTTTTAATGGCAGACTTAAACTTTGGCAGAACTCATGAAGAGGAGTCTCTCCATAGGACTGGACATTATATTGATATTTTAGTGGGGGGGTCATACTGATACCTTAGTGGGTTTTTTTAACAGTGTCTAAGTATTTTTCCAGTGCCTAGATTGTTTTTACAGTATAAGAATGTTTTTTCATAGCGTCTAAATGTTTCTTCACAGCACCTTAGCATTTTTTCAGTGCTTAGACCTTTTTTTACAGCATCTTAACACTTTTTCACAGCAGTTAAACATTTTTTCTCAGCGTCTAAGTATATTTTCACAGCACCTTTGTGTTTTTTCACAGTACCTGAGCATTTTTTCACCATGCTTAGACCTTTTTTTTACAGCATCTAAATGTTTTTTCAGTGTCTAAATGTTTTTCAGTGTCTCAGCATTTTTTACAGCATCTTAACGCTTTTTCACAGCACCTAAGCATTTTTTCACAGAGCCTAGATGCTTTTTACAGCATCTAAAATGTTTTTTCACAGCACCTATGCGTTTTTTAAAACATTTAAATCATTTTTTTCGTAGTTTTTTTAAGCTTTTTTTTTTTTTTTTTTTTTTACAGCACCTAAACCAAATGAACGAACAAAAAGAAAAAAAGGTTAAAACACTTTTCTCCTCTCGTCTGCTCTCTGTCTCTGGGCAGGGCTCAGCTCCTCTTCACATACATTTATTTCAGTTTTATTTTATTGATATAGGATTTTTTTCTTTCACATTTCAATTCCAATGTCAGAATATTCTGAAGATTTAAAAGTTCATCCCTCTTTTAAAAGGTATACTTGCATTATTATGCTAAAATGGCAATACTATTATTTACTGCAATTAATCCTGTACTATATACACCAAAAGTAATGTGTGTAATGTGACAGGTCTAACTGTAAATGTCTTTCTGGTTTTAAAGGCTGTTTTACAATGAAGTGATGTAATTTTCTGAATTTCCTTTAAATATGGGGGAAGCAGTCACACCTATACTTTATGTATTGCCAGATACAGGTATGTGTACCTGAGACCTAATATAACAAAATGACTGAGACTGACTGAAGCAGACGGAAATACTCACCATCTTCTCCCTGAGAATCCACAGCTCCCACAAACTTTCCATAACGATCACCAATGGACTGGATGTCGAAAAACACATCACCTGCAACCGAGGCATTTCACTTATGTTGACACAGGTACTATGTGGATACAGCCATTATTATATATAATAAGTCTTAAAGTTCTCACCTTCTTTTGTGGCATAAGCGTGTCCATTCTTGATGATCCTCTCAATAAACGCGACGATGTGATGCACATTCTCAGTGACTCTTATGTACACTGCAGGAGGAGTCACCTTAAAAACAAGCACAGGATATAAAGTTTATAGATAAGCAATTCACAGTTCAACTGAATCAGTGTTTTTAAATGAAGAGACCTCTGCGGATAATTTGGCTCCTGGTGAAAACCTCCTGAACAATTAAAGCCTGATTTATGGTCCTGCAGCATACCTACGACGTACCTACGTCGTTGCCGTGACGCCGTCGTGAACCCTTCGAACTTCTCCGTCACTCCATTTCGTCACAGTGCAATTCACCGCCAGAGCGGTAGGAGGCTGCATTCCTTTCCTGAATGGTTATCGTCGTCTCTAGCTGATTCTTTGTTTAGCTTCCGGCTTTTCTGGTCACAGAGAAATGAACGCGGAGCACGGACAGACAGTTCCGTCCGTATCCGTATTAAACGTTGAGCATAAATGGGCCTTAATACTGCAACATCTACATCGCAACAGAAGATGTTTAAAGATGGTGGGGATGGCCCAATCTGGAAATATGGAACCGGAAATACATTGCTACCAAGCAAACCAATCACAGCCCTCTCGGTCTGCGCTGGGTCTGCGTCGCCTAGACATGTAGTTACATTTTTGGGGAGGTGAACGTCAGGCTACGCCGGGGGCTACGGCGAGCCTTCTGCATAGCCACGTACCCTACGACATAGTGATGTTGTTGATTTAACGCAGGACCATAAATCAGGCTTAACATTGGAGGAATTCTAATCAGGAGAAGTTTCAGCTGGCTGCAATTTGCAATCCTCACCACTAGATGCCACTAAATCCCCTAAATCTTACACACTGCTCCTTTAAAATACATTCACTCTGACCCAATCACACACCTTTAACGACAGCATATCCCTCTTGAACTCCTCCTCATATGTCGTGGATATAACTGTCGGGGAGACGTTTTCCTGCAACAAAGCATTATCTGAATAAGTACGCCTTTAAAACAAAAAAAGTCAGATGTTAACAGACTTTTGCGACGTTACCTCCCAGCTTCTTTTGATGATTTTGTCATCGATGTCGGTGATGACCATGGCGTGGATGACGGTGACTCCAAACAGCCTGGACAAGATCCTCTGCAGGATGTCAAACCTGACGTAAGAGCTGAGACAGATGCAAAGGCTTTTAGCTCTTACACATAATTATACATTTGGCTTGTGTATAACACATATATAACATCATATAGCATTACCATGCATGACCCAGGTGGGCGTGGTCGTAAACAGTGGGTCCACAGCTATACCTGTAATGCAACACGTTAATATTAGTGAGGTTATTAAGCATAATTGTGCATACTGATGATATAATGATTTCCTACCAGGTGGCTACTCCCTCTCTCGCCAAGATGAGAGGCTCCTTCTGTTTGGTCAGGCTGTTGTACGTCTTTACACCCGTGTCAAACCCGCTGGGTCTCACCCACTTCTTCCCTGACACCCTGCTACAGGATCCATTAGCTCTGGGTTTGACAGCGGTGACTGACTGAGCTGCGTTCAGGACCTTTGCCCTCCGTAACACCGACCTCACTGAGCACCACATAGTAGCAGCATCCGCACTGCTAGCTTAGCTTTAGCTTTAGCCTAGCTTGACTCACACTGGGCTCACACATTAAAACAGTAACAGTGTGAAATGTTAGCTAATGTGGCTACAGCTACAAACCTCATTTAATATCTTCTTCTTTTCGTTTTAAAACGGGTGGTAACCAGCTTTAAGGCGCATTACCGCCGCCTACTATCCGACAACCGCCGCCGCTGCTGCTGTCACCGCCACTTCTCGCGAGAGTCCGACCCCGGAAGTGTTCTGACGTATCATGTGACTCGCTCTTGCTGGCACCCTGCTTGAGCAGCTATGTCAAAATAATAAGGCATTTCACAGGACGGTTTTTCTCGGAGAACCTCGCGTTTTGTCGGGATATAAATTTACAAGATGCAGAACGTTATAAACACCGTTAAAGGGACGGCGCTCGGCGTGGCTGAGTTTCTCACCCCGGTGTTAAAGGTAAACTTACATGAACGTTGCAGGAGCTAGCTTGTTGATAAATGATAGCTACACACATTACAGCTTATCAGAGATATCCAGCAGCTAACACATGATTCATTATTTATTTTTAATCTTATTTAAGGCACTAATACAAGCTGATATAGTTATTGTAAATGCGTGCCACCCCTGTTTACAGCTGGAGACTAATGTTATGTGTGTTTTTAATCATAGGAATCGAAATTCAAAGAGACTGGAGTCATAACACCAGAAGAGGTGAGAACACACTTGTTTAAAGCCCATCTACAGTCTTATATTTACTCACAACAACACAGTCTATGTGTAGAAGCATCACACTCAATCCTGTCTTCTTGTATTTTAGTTTGTTGCAGCTGGAGATCACTTGGTTCACCACTGCCCCACATGGAAATGGTGAGTGTCCACCCCCAACATGGACGTCTCCACAGTATCCACCTCCCCTCACATCTGAAATCTCGGCGTCACATTAAACACATCACCAAAACAACCTTCTTTCACCACAAGAACACCGCCCGCCTCTGTCCATCCCTCTCCTCCTCCTCAGCTGCAGAAACCCTCATCCACGCCTTCATCACCTCCCGTCTACTCTATGGCTCATCTTCAAAAACCCTCAATTAGCTCCAGTATATCCAGAGCTCTGCTGCTCAGCTACTCGCTCGCTCTCGCACCCGTAACCACATCACCCCCGTCCTCCATAAGCTCCACTGGCTCCACATCCCCCAGAGAATCCACTTCAAAATCCTCACCCTACCTGTCTGTGGTCCTCTATCATCACACTCCCACCCACACCAGACCTCCTGTCCCCTCCCTCCCGGACCAAGCACACATCCTGGGGGGACAGGGCCTTCTCCATCGCTACTCCCACCCTCTGGAACTCACTCCCCAAACCCATCCGAGACTCCCCCTTTTATGTTCCTGAATTTTTAAAGCATCTTTGAGTGCCTTGAAAAACGCTATATAAATATAATGTGTAATATATGGTAATAATGTTAATACAGTGGTTACTGTTGGTGCTATAACATTCCTGACATCACCCGTATGACTTTGTGAAATTATAAAAAGGCTTCAGAGTAATATACAACCTTTGGTTGGTCATGATCGGACTCTACGCTGCTCACTTCCCTGTTCTTCATGTTGAATTTCACAATGAAGTGCAAAATTCCGACATAAAGAAACTCAAGTGGCATCACATTACATACCTACTGTGTCTGCTGGCTGTGGCAAATTCTTTTTGGTCAGTCATTTATTTAGAAATATATATTTTTGATACCAAACTCAGGCACTGTGTGGGTATTATTATAGGAACATTTTGGTGACTCATACACACCCCTCTTAACCTCGGCCAACCTCTGTGTACGTCTGTTGTTCTTTCTCCTCTCAGGGCCACCGGGGAAGAAGTCAAGGTGAAGCCATATTTGCCCCCGGATAAACAGTTTCTCCTGACACGCAATGGTAAGAGGTGAATCGATCGAAATCTGTATTCAGATAATCAAATGCAGGAGATGTTTAAATGTGTAGACAAATCTATGAATGTATATATAGATATTAACGGCTGAGAAGTCTTTATTTCAGAGTGGTTCTGGAAGCAAAAGTAACACGTAAAAACACGGCCTGAGTTGTAATTAATGTCTGTATTTCCAGCTTATACTTAGACTTCTCAGACATTTATATCTATGTACGCATTCACAGATTTATCTATGTATGCAGTGCTTTATGTGCACATGTTCAGAATCTCAGTACACTTGCAGGCCTGAGTACACATTAAGAGACTCTTTCACACGTTTACACATCTGATTACACACACACACGGATTGAGATACAGACACACAGCTCCTCATACACGTGTGCAAATAGTTCTGCTTCAGTGATGTTCATGTAATGTTTGAGTTTTGTTCTTAACTGTATTTTAACTTCACTCACTCTGTCACATCAACAGTTTGTGTGTGTTACTTAAACAGCTCTCTCCACTTCCTCATGAATTGAAAAGTGAAGTGAAGCAACTCTGAATTTTCCCTGAGCTTGACTTGATTTATTTTTACAAGCTGCACGTCTTTGAATTAAAGGGAAGCATCTTTAAATTACAGTGTGGATTAATAAGAACTAGGTGTTGGGGTTGTTGCTGTTGTTTGTCTTTTATGAACACACAAGTAGATTACATAGACAATAGACAATGGAGAGCGAGCCAGTATTTCAGGAAGCAGTAATCTCTTCCTGCTCTCACTCTCTGTCCTGCTTCATACTTTGCAGCTGTGCAACAGATCATCAGTTTCTGTTTCGTAAGATACACACCTCTCTGTGTGTTGATTCGTGTCTCTTGCAGTTCCTTGTTACAAGCGCTGTAAACAGATGGAGTATTCAGATGAGCTGGAAGCCATCATAGAGGAGGACGATGGAGACGGGGGCTGGGTGGACACTTACCACAACTCAAGTAGGACACCGTCTCACTCAGAACTGGAAATCAGTTAGATTTTACAGATTCAATCCCAGATCTTATAAAATCAGATTAAAAGGTATTAAATAATGCTGAAGAACATTTCCTGACACGGCTGTGTTCCAGCAGGTGTGTTAGGAGTCACAGATGCTGTACGAGAAATTTCACTGGACAATAACAAGGTAGGCTAATTCTAAATGTGCTAGTCCTGTAGCTTTCAGCTGTACTCCATGACCTTCTTCAGCAATAACTGGACGTGTTATTTATCGGTTAAAGACCTTTTGAAATGGTGTTTAGTCTTTTGTTTTTTGTTTTTGTAATTCTCTTCTTATTGGTTTTTAAAAGCAGTATAAACATATGTAAACAAAATCCAGAACCAACTGAGCATGAAGACCTTGAGCAAAAAGGAACAATAAAATAATAATGAAATAAAATAAAAGAATAAATAAATAAAAACATTTTGATAAATAAATTAAATTAAAATAAATTTGATAAACAAATAAAATAAGATGAAATAAAAACAAAAAACAATTTGATGAAAAAATAAAATGAAAATAAATAACACAATTTGATAAATAAATAAAATCAAATAAAATAAACAATTGATAAATAAAATAGAATTAAAAAAACAATTTGATAAATACATAGAATAAAAATAATAAGACAATTTGATAAATAAATAAAATAAACAATTGACAAATAAATAAAATAGAATAAAATAAAAATAAAAAACAATTTGATAAATGAATAAATAAAATTAACTGAAATAATTTGATAAATAAAAAACAAAAAACAATTTGATAAATAAATAAAATTAAATTAAATGAAAAAAGGGGGGGGCATAAATTAATAATAATAATTATAATAATTATACAAGACATAACAAATAAAAATCCTAACATAAGGATAAAAAATAAATTAGAAATAGATCGAGAATGTTGAAACAGGACATACATATTGATGCACAACACAGTGTTTCTAATACTTATCAGACAATGTCAGGTCTAATGTTTGACACATATGCCACCCATTTTGTCCAGTTCTCAATAAAGATTTCCTTCCTGTCAGTCCCTCCATTACATAGATATTATAAACCAAGTCAATCCATTTGTCAATACTAGGCATTTCTTTTTTCAGCCATTTAGTTTAGTCTTTTAATGTTGTGACACTTTAGGACCTACTGTGAAGGTGTGCAGTTGCAAATGCGACCTTTTAATGCGACTCTCTGCAGGACAAGAATATGAATGCCAAATCTGCAGCATGCTGTGATGATGATGATGACGAAGATGATGAAGATGGAGAAGCAGCAGATATGGAAGGTACTCGTATCGTCCCAATGATGAAGCAGCCATTTTGTTTTTCAGGCGACCTGTACCTCACGTTGTCCTTCATGCTGTCTTTTCAGAGTACGAGGAAAGTGGCCTGTTGGAAACAGACGAGGTAGACGTCTTAAAGTGTCGCAGCATTCATTGTTCGATCTAACGCTGATTATCATCAGTCTAGCTACCACCTCACACTTGTCTCCTGTGTCTAGGCGACCCTGGACACCAGTAAAATGGTTGAAACCAAAGCCAAAGCAGAACCTGGCAGTGAAGACGCCATCCTTCAGACTAGAACATACGACCTGTGCATCACATACGATAAATACTACCAGACCCCTCGACTCTGGCTGTTTGGATATGATGAAGTATGTACCTGGGCACAATGTGACTTAATAAGACACCTCTGTTTATTCTTAAGAAGGCTGGAATAGTATCAGAAAGTGTTGAGATCATTTAGGAAACTCATCAGGCTGCTGTGGTGTCTCCCAGGACAGGCAACCGCTGACTGTAGAACAGATGTACGAGGACATCAGCCAGGACCATGTCAAGAAGACGGTCACCATCGAGAACCACCCCCACCTTCCTCCACCTGCCATGTGCTCTGTCCATCCCTGCAGGTGAGGAACTAATGGGGAGAAACTCACCCTCGGACCCTCGGAGTTTGAAACTGTCTGTAGTGATGTCTTTGAATATGAGTACAGGAATGTTTGATAGTATGACTGACTGTTCAAAATGAAGCTTCGCCTGATCCAACTTTTACTTTCAGACATGCTGAGGTGATGAAAAAGATCATTGAGACTGTGGCAGAGGGCGGAGGAGAGCTTGGAGTGCATATGTATCCTTTCATGGTGATAACTGATGATATGTCTGCTTCTTTGACAAAGCTGTTTTGCCCTTCCCTCCATGCTTTTTTCCCTCAACGGAAACTTCCAGGTATCTTCTGATTTTCCTCAAGTTTGTCCAGGCTGTCATTCCCACAATAGAATACGACTACACGAGACACTTCACCATGTAGCTTCATAAATCTGCCTCCGCTAACGCCACATCTGTACATGGGAACGATCAGCTCTTCTGTCTCTGTGTCGAGGTTACATCTGGGGTGCGTCCAGCGCCGATACAAACGTGTCCTGTCTACCTGTCCTTAGCCTAGCGATAGCATGAGAAGTCTTTTTATTTTACCTGTGGAAAACTGGAAGTGTAAAATCACACTTGGATATATTTGTAACTAGCTTGCAAGCTAACAGCAATGTCGAATGGTGTTTTTGCGCTAAGCTAGGCTAACCACATGCTGGACAGACTTCTGCACTGGACACACAGATACTGAACTCCATCTTCTCATCTGACTCTGGGTAAGACTGCAGACAAGGCTTTGTCCCAAACTTCGGACTGTACCTCTGATGTTTCTCTACAGGTTTAACGTTGTGATCACAATGTGGTGAGCTCGCACAACGTTCTTGTTAAGAGGATTGTGATGCTGTTACTAAACCGCACCCCATTCCACATTGCTTCGCTGCTTCAAACGTCCATCTTCAGAAAATAAAGTCACCCCGGTCAGCTTCTTGAGTCATTAAAAATGAGATGGTTTATCAGAGCTGCCTGAGAGAACAGTGAGACTGAACAAAAACAGTCCATAGCCCGTCACTGCCTTCAGACATCTGATTATGTCCATCCACTTCTCGTACAGCTACCCCACAAATAATACCCAGAAGAAAATATTTCAAATGTCTCTGTACCTGACAGCAGCATTGATAGAAGCTTCTTGACTGTAACAGTACCCCATGCCTCTCTGCAGTGCTTACTACTGTCTCCATTCTCACGTTGCAGAAGGCTCAGCTTGCTCCTGTCATTGTAAATCAGCTCTTTATGCCAGTTTGTCTTAATACTTCATTCTCTGAATGTGTCGATGGCCAGGCCTTTACACTCAGCCATGGTTCTTCTGGTTGGCTTATATGTTTATATTCCCTCCTCTGCAGCTTGTGTCAAAACCTTGAGACTTCTTCAGTTCGTCCTGCTTCTACAATGATGCATCAGTATCAGTACCTATTGTGTCTCGGAGCTACGTGAAGGTCGGCTCTATCTATTGTGCAGCGTTCTCACAAAACAAATCTCACAAGCCTCTCTGTGTGTTTCAATAACTTCTTCAGTTTCTGGTCTTTTTTGTTGATGATATTGTGACTTATGAACTATATTGGGCTCATTACACTAACGTGTCTGACAGTACTTACAGAAATAAATGAATTACGCGCTTCAGTGATCTCTACTTTCTTTGTTCTGGCTTGGTTGGATCAAATATTCATCTGTTGGCGCTTACTGCCTGTTGGTCCGGTCTCCTAATGTGACTTGCTCAGTGGTAACACTTGAACATTTTAAAGTAATGTACATTAATCAATAAAGAGTTTCCCAAATATTGCAAACAGAATGGTTTTTGTGTGTTTGTTGGGTCGGGAGCCAGATGTTTCTCGCATCGTATGGGTTTCAGTGAAAAGTATTTTACCTTCCCACAGCTCTTGAAAGCGGCAACTGTCAAACTTACGCCACCCTGGTGAAGGCAGTGTCCACAGCCAGAATCTGGCCAGTTAATTTGGCTGATTCTTGGCTTCATTAACTACTGACTCACTGACTTATTGCTTCCAATGTGCCGAGTTTGGGACGATGCTGGGCCAGGTCGTTCTTGACAACAGCCCAGTGATGGCAGTGGCAATCGGGTCAGTTTATTTGACTCGATTCTGGGTGCACATCCATGGGTACAGTCAGTGTCAAACACTTTACTGTCTTCATCATCTTCATTCATCTTCAAAAGGCTCAGGTGTTCACAAGAAAGGATGGTCGCTTTTTGAAAAACTGTGCAGGCAAGCAGTTTGAGAACGACCTTTCTCTATGACCCATTGCAAAGAATTTAGGGATTTCACCATCAACAATCTATAATATCATCAAAAGATTCAGGGTTGTGGATTATGAAGGCCATAGCTCTCATATCCGTCTGGTTCCAAGGCAGTATATACATAAACTGAGGTGCATAAACCACACAACATCTCTGCCATCAAGGTAAAACAAGTTCCCACTCCTCTGCTGCTGTTCCACATTCTGACCACCTGGGGGCAGTAGTGTATCTGAGTCTTAACACCCCAGATATCAGCATAGGCAGCACCAGAGAAGAAGCATTTCGTTGTCAGAAAGCAACGTGTGGAGGTCATGCCTGCGGGTTCAACATGTCTCTACTGGACCCCACTCTCCTCCTCTGTGTGAGCGGCTTCTTCTCCAACTTGCGGCCGTCGGAGCCTTTCCTCACCGCCTACCTGATGGGACCGGACAAGAACCTGACGGAGACTCAGGTGAGTTAGCACGCAGGGCTAAAGGCTACTGGCTGAGCGGCTGCTTACAGGAGCTTGCATCACTTCTTATGTTAAAGCGATGAGAGGCAAGAAGTTTTTAGTTTTGATTACAATAGTCATAAGTCTTACTTTGAAAAACCTGGTGGGTGTGCTGCAAGGTAGATGTTCAGGTTGCAGACGAGGAAGTGGGTATACTCTCATATACACGGATCAGCCAAAACATTAAACCACTTACAGGTGAAGTGAGTAACTTTGATTGTTCTGCTGGGAAACCTTTGGTTCTGTCTCTGTCTCCTTTGGCATGTGGATACCACCTGACATGTTCCACCCTCTCCAACACCGTTGCAGACCAACCCCTCGTCATGGCAACAGTACTCCCCATTGGCAGTGGCCCCCCAGCACAAAAAAAACACCATGCCACACTGCAGAAACTGTGTAGAAATGTCCTTTGGAGCGTGACAAAAAGCTCAAGGTGTCAACCTGGCTTCTAAATTTCCCAGGTCCCAATCTGCTCAAGGATTCTTGTGATGTGCCGGTACCCCAGATGTACGTCTAATCCAAGGTGGGGCCTCCTTGGATCAGACGTGCCACAGATGCTCATTCAGATTGGGATCTGGGGACTTTGGAGGCCAGGTTGATGCTTTGAGGTCTTTGTGTTTGTCCTGCAAAGGTGTTTGAGTGGATAGAACATGTCAGGTGATATCCGCATGAATGCCAGAACCAAAGGTTTCCCAGCAGAACAATGTATTAGAACAAAATAATCAAGGTTATTCACTTTACCTGTCTGATCATTCTACTGTTTTCAATTCAGCATCCGACCAACTCTCGAACTCTGTCATGGCTACTTATGAGTCTAGACATTGATGTAAACTGTAACTGCACTTGACGTTAATGGAGGCATACAACCATGAGGTGGAATTTCTTGTTTCTTGGTACACCTCTGCAATAGCTGTTTGTGCCAGAGCTGGTGTGCATTGACACACATTCCTCACACTTGGCATGTTTCCTCATCATTTTGGTCTGCCTTTGTACTGCTGTCTCTCGTCAACATGTCAGTTAGCATGTACATGGGATTTATCATGGTTTACATGCACTGGGTTGTTCTAAGGCTCGCTTAATGTGATGTGACAATCTTGATGTGTTGACGGTTGCTTAATAATACAACTGGATGTGTTCTAATGGCTCAGTCCTGTTGTTTAGTCAGAATAGCCCCAACGACAAACTCAATCACACTTGCCCCAGACAGGATTATCCCTCAGGAAAAACTGGAAAAATTTCTGGTTAATCCTGAAATAATTACCTCCATCAAGATCTAAGCTGGCTTACAAAAATCTTTCACCAAGAAGCAGTGATAAATATTTTTTTGCCCTGAATGACATTGGTTTATATCTAAAGTATTGGAAAATTAGACAGACTATTTCAAGACCTCACTGCCAGTCAGAGCAGTTTTAGGAAATGCCATAACCGGCTGAAGATATTACATCATCCACAAATAGACAGGAAGTCAGTGCATTATGTCTTCACTTAGAAAATGGCTTCTGATCCTGTTCTAAACACTTTAGAAACTACAGTTACTCAGCTTTGACTCTGTTACACTGAAATGCTTTGAGTTCTATTACTGGGAAGTTGTCAGGATGTCCATTGCCACATGCATTTATGTTGTGCCACAGGGAAGTGTGCTTGGGTCATGGAGGTTGTGCATCTATACAAATGACTTTCAAACAAGAATGTAAAATCTATAGATGTGCATGTGATCCAGTTCTTCGCTGCTCAGGGAAATGACAAATAAATGTCAGCACGTTCTTACGCAGGAAGTGGAAATTAGCTGTCTTGTCATTTAGAGCCCCGCAAACGTCCAAAAATTCAAGGTCAGGGGTCACTGTGTCCTCACGTCCGTTTCATTCTCATAAATGTGAGAAGGCCTTGAGGGGATTTCTTCTAATTTGCCACAAACATTCAGTTGGACTCAAATGATTAGATTTTCTTAGTCTAAGGTCAAAGCAATCTGTGATCTCACATCTGTCTCGTTCTCATGAATGCAAGAAGGTCTTGAAGGGTTTGCTTCAAATTTGGCAAAAACATCCACTTAGACTCAAGGATGAAGTGATTAGATGTGGGTGGTCAAGGTTACTGTGTCCTTGCGTTCGTCTCATTCTCATGATAGCAAGAAGACCTTGAGGGATTTGCTTTAAATTTGGCACAAATGTCAACTTAGACTCAAGGATGAATTGATTAGATTTAGGTGGTCAAGGTCACTGTAACCTCACGTCTGTCACATTCTCATGAATGTGAGAACGCCTTAGGGGATTTCCTCAAATTTGACACAAACGACCACTTGTACTCAAGAATGAAGTGATTAGATGTCGGTGCTCAAAGGTCAAGGTCACTGTGACACGGCAAAACCTATATTTGGCCATAACTCAAGAGTTCATACACTAATTGTGACAAAATTTCACACAAATGTCTTAATAGGATGAACTGATGAAGTGATGACATTTTATATCCAATAGGTCAAAGGTCAACTTCACTGTGACATCACAATGTTGTGCAAAAACTCTTTTCTGGCTGTTATTCCAAGCTATAACTCAGGAACAGAAGTGGAGACATTTGGTCAGATACTGAATTGGTGACACTCATCTTGGATGTCCACCTTGAAACTGTGCTGGTTGTTTAGATCTTCTGGAATGAAATCTTATTTCTGTAAATGTTATCTCTTACCTGCAGGTTGTTAATGAAATCTATCCAGTCTGGACATATTCCTATCTGGCCTTGCTCTTCCCCGTCTTCCTGATCACTGACTACCTCCGCTATAAGCCTGTATTGCTCTTGCAGGCCACCAGTTTAGTAGTGACCTATGTTATGTTGCTGAAGGCACAGGGCACGGTGGCCATGCAGCTCCTGGAGTTTTTCTTCGGGCTGGCCACAGCCTCGGAGGTGGCCTACTACTCCTACATCTACAGCGTGGTGGAGCCTGCACACTACCAGAGAGTGACAGGTTACTGCCGCAGCATCACTCTGTTTGGATCAGCTGCTGGATCTCTGATGGGACAGCTCCTGCTTTCTTTGGCCAAAGCTCAGCTGGTCCACCTCGTCATTATCACGCTGTCGTCAGCCGCCGTGGCCTTTGTTGCACCCTGGTTTCTACCCATGCCCAAGAGGAGCTTGTTCTTCCATAAGAGTGCAGAAGCAGTGGAGGAGAGGCCACGCAGCAGCACAGCACTGTTGGAGAAGGCTGAAGATTCAACGGCCAGGTTGCCTCCAAACAGCCAGGACGCCCCTACAGTGAGTGTTCAGGTCACACCTGATAGGAATTCATCCATTAAAAGTGTATTTGTATAAAGAGATACATTCAGTCACGCCTTCACTCTCCATGCAGATACCCAGCACCTCTGACACAGGAAAGCATAGCAGTGGTGTTGTGGAGGTGTTAAAGATACTGCTTGATGACTTCCTGAAGTGCTACAGATGTCAGTCCCTCCTGGCCTGGTCGCTGTGGTGGGCTCTGGCCACCTGCGGCTACTTCCAGGTCATCAACTACGCCCAAGCGCTATGGGAGAACGTTCGTCCATCGCAGGACTATGAAATCTACAACGGCTATGTAGAGACACTGTCCACACTGCTAGGTAAGGGGTGCCACTGTCAGGTTTAAAATAATCTGTGGCCTTTTGTTTTAGATGTAAAATTTATTTATTTTTTTTTTTAATTTAGTGATGCACTTGTGTGTCTGTGTTGTGCTGATCCTCAGGGGCCCTGGCAGCGCTGCTGGTGGGTTACCTGCCTGTATGCTGGGCAGTGTGGGGGGAGCTGGCTCTGTTTCTCTTCTCCCTACTCATGGCTGCATGTGTGTTTGTCATGGACACAATGAGGAACATATGGGTGTGTTACAGCTCATACGTTCTCTTCAGAGCCACATACATGCTGCTCATCACCGTGGCTACGTAAGTACAATGTCAGACTTTAGGCAAATGTGGTTTATCTTGGTTATATGAAGTTTGGCTTTTGGCTTTCTGCTTTCTCTCGGCGCTGCTCGTGTTTGGTGGACCAGTGAAAGACTAGTGCATATCAAGATGACTCGAGTTAGGCC